AGTCTGTTATTAAGCCCTTCTAGTGTGTTTCATTTCAGTTACTGTGTTCTTCTCTGACTAGTTCTTTTTCATATTTTCTGGTTCTTTGTTAAGAAGGCAGGGAAGAAGGATGGGAGGGAGGGAGAGAGGAAGCCACCGTTTGCCATTCTTCAGCGTCCACACATTATTATCCTCTCTTGTCTGCAGCTTCCCTAAGGAAAGCTTAAAATTACTGTCCACAGTAATAACAACTATAGAATTTAAAACATAAATGTATGTTATATCATTTAAAATATTCAACAAATTGAAATAAATGCAAAGCTACATGCTGATAACATCAGGTGACCACATGACATTAAAATTCGCCATTTTGGACTACTGTAAAAAACCTCAGCAATTTTTGAAAACTACAAACAACAGAGATTATTTGCTGTAATTGCCTGTCAGTGAAACTAGAAACAGGTGAAAAAAACGAAGCAAAAACAACCATGTTGAAATTTTAGAACTCTTTTCAGGAGGAAATTTTGGATCTAGAAGGCCCTGGAACCCACATGCAGCTCAGAAAGTTAGAAATGGAAAAATGAAACATGAGAACAGAGAAACAGAAATGAGACTGAAACAAATGAAAATATCTTAAGGCTCAGACACTTGGAACGTTTTGATGCCAAAATCCGAGAGCTAATTACAAGGTGATATTCCTTTCTTTCCTCCCTTGTGTCTCCTCCCCTCCTCCTCCCCTCCTCTCCTCTCCTCTCCTTTCCTTTTCTTTCCAAGGGAGAATGTCTAGAGCAGCCTTTCCGAGTTTCCCGCAGGGAGGTGGAGGGGCCCGCAGTGCCTCTCGGGAGGGTGGAGCAGCCCTGGAGGGGAAGGGAAGGGGTCGGCCTGGCTGGGGTCTGCCCCCTAAGACAGTCTTAGGGGACCCCTCAGCCCAAGGATGAGAATAAAGCAGCTCATCCAGCCTTGGGTCACCTACAAATACCAAGAGGCCTTTACGTCACCCAATCCAACCTCCTGTCAAGAGGAGGCAGGTGGGCACAGTGGTTGTGGTGGGGGGGGTCCCCTACTCCTCCTCGATGGGCCCAGGGCCGCCCCTCCTGCTGGAGAACACACAGCCGTCAGAGCAAAGCACAGACCAGACCCTGGTTCTCGCACCCCTCCAGCCGCCCTCACACCACACGGGAGCAGCAGGACCAGGCCCAGTGCTGGGTGGGTGCATGCCCCAGCCGTTTCCCCAGTGAAGTGAAGGGGAATCGTGCCAGTGCACACGTGGTTCCCATCCTGTCCCGGACAGGGTCTGCCCTTCACTGCCTGGGGCTCCTCAGTTCCCCCCTCTGTAACCTGGGGATCTGAGAAGTTCTCTCAGGCACCCAGGATTGCCTCAGCAGTTGCAGCCCTGACTTGTGCGGGATGCGGCTCCTGCCAGCCCGTGTCCCAGGATTATCCTGTGTGAGCTCCCCAAGCACCCCAGAAGCGGCCCCTCCACCTGGGCAACAAGAGGGGAGCCCTGCTCTTAGGTGGCCAAGAACCGACATGGGCTTCCAGAGGCCCGCCCCCCACCTCCAGCCCGGATCCGTCCCGCCCACTCGGACCTTGTCCTGCCCTCCTCAGGCCAGGGCGTGGCCACCTGACTCAAAGGTCTGGGAGCCAAGCACCCCCTTCCTATCTGATGGCACTTCTGACCCAAGGGTCAGACCAGACAAACATGACATTTAAATTTCAAGAAAAAATAACCAACGTTCCCCCCAGAAAGCTTGTACCAAGTCACACCAGCCGTATTTGGGAATCCCCGCTTCCTTACGTCTTTGCCAGCCCTGGATTTTAAGAACATTCTCTCCTTCCCCCCAGCCATCTGTTTGCCAAATTACAATTTTGCATTCTTTAGACTTTTGATTTCTTGAAATGTGTGCAGGTGAGCAACTTTCATTTCTCGCGGTTTCTTCCATGTGTTTAATTACCTCTGTTTATTTCTGTCCTTGTAACTCTGTCCCTTTACCCCCTGGGGTTTTGGCTGCTTTTTTACTGATCTGTAGTTCATTAAATTTGACAATGCAAACATTTTCCATTCTGTCATTTATCTTTCACCTTTGTGTTTTTTCCTGTAATGCACAATGATTTTTTTTTTATGAATCAGGTTTTGTGGGTTATTTCCCTTCTGCTTACTGAGTTGCACACTGTCCTATGACAGTCACATCAAATGGG